ATTAACAATGACAGACAAGGTGCTTGTGATTAAGTTTTTTATATAATTTCTTATATGATCTTATAAAGTATTTTTCAGTTGATAAATTATACAAAAAACTGTCCAAGTGTTTTATTTTTCTGAGCGCTTTCGGCTATACATTTAAGGATGAAATATATTTACTGTTAACTTGAAATAGATTTTTGTATTTATCTGTTTATTATTAAAGAATGTTTTCTTTTAATGAAACAGTCTGCCGCCTCTGATTGTTGACTTCAACACACACACACACACACACACACACACACACACACACACACATATATATATATATATATATATATTTAAATAGGTTTGAAACGGTACAAAAAGCGTATTAAGGCATTAAAACTAGAAATGTTGTATTGCATTATAAGTTTAAATAAACACACACCAGTCGACTGGTTTCGTCCTCTCTCGTCAGAACTGTTAACGGGGAATTTAGATTATGAGGAAAAAAAAAAGTCTGTCATGGGTGACATGAATGAATGGACAGGGAAGGAAGGAAAAAAAAAATATTATACCAACCAAGCTGCTAGATGCGCAGAACAGCAAGTCCATAAACAATCTCTTTGTTTGCAAAGAGAAGGCTGCCTGGACCTGATGTAAAACGACTCAACACCTAAGATGGAAAAAGTGAGTGCGGAACTGGCCAAAGACGGAAAAACCAGTTCACACTGAAACCATCGCACAAGTTGGATTCTTTATAAATGATCAACAATGGAAGACCCATACGTGTGCGAATGGTATCGCTTAAAGAAAATTTTTTGTTTATATATAGGTACGTGTTGTTTAATGCTATATATACCTATGTTCCACAACTACATTTGAAATAGTAAATATAGGTTAATATAGAACATCTTTACACATAGATGGAATATGGACTTAGTTTGAAAAGACAACACGAACGTTCGCTGCAAAATAACACTCCCGTGAACTACATGAAATACGCTTGGGGATTCACTAATCCTTGTAAACAAAGATAGACCAGACATTTACCAGATATTTATATATATATATATATTGAATATTTTCCCAATTAAATCAGACATATATATATATATATATATATATATATATATATATATATATATATATTTCTGAGATGAGATATTAAACATGATTACATTAACGTTCATCTTTGTCGCTATATTTATTACAACGTTTCGGCCGTTGAACGCTCCGGCCTTCTTCAGGTGGCTGGAATGTCGAACTGAACACTTTATATTTATACATATTTTGGGTCTTCAATCGAAACCGATGACGTCTAACTGCACATAAGGACACAGGGAAGGCTGTTCAGCTTGACAAAGTCAATTATCATTTATCTCCTGTTAATTCCCCTCTCCAAGTTCTCCACTGCCTTACACTCTTTGTGTCTTGTCACTGGATCTAACCAACGCCTTTATCCACTGTGCCTTGTGTCCTTGTGTTCTTGTGCAAGATTTTCTGGGAATTATAAACCTAATGTCTTCAGCAACCCTTTTTTACCAGTGCTCATATTGCAATTTTTGCTGTTATCAATTCATATTTTACCAGATCTCATATTGCAATTTTTGTTGTAATTATCGCTTTTCTCTGCCACTCCTTATTATTGCTTTCTATATTGTATTCATTTGTATGCTTGGTCAGCTCTGAAGATTTTTGTGGCCTAAAATATGTGGTGATTCCTTAAGTTTACGAATTTTCCAATGGCGTTGTTTGTCTATGATCTCAACCTGATCCCACAGAGGAGCGTATAACGATCTAAACGTTGTAACAAATATGGCGACAAAGATGAGGACAACAGACCAATAATGTAAATAGTATATATATATATATATATATATAATTCTGAATTTTCTTCGTGGTAATGAAACATATTTTGGGTCTTCAATCGAAACCGATGACGTCTAACACAGGACATAACATAAGAAGACAGGGAAGGCTGTTCAGGTTGTCTACGCTGAGGATGAATTTCAAAGTCCTTGTGGTGATTATTAGAGACATGATGTCCGCAAAAATATCATTCTTTAAATCTTTGGAATAGGATACTCATGAATATTGATTAGGTTAGCGGAAAAATGAGTAGAAGTTTGTTTACATGTATATGTAAAAAATATATATATATATATATATATATATATATATATATATATATATATATATATATATAATATTTGGTAAATATACATACACAAAATATATAAATATATATACATAGTATGCATACATATATATATATTTTTTGAATAAAAATCCAAGAGGATAAAATCCAGGTAGTACACAATTCATATTTCTCTTACTTAAACCCTTCCCACCTCTCCTAAAAAATTCTCTGTGTTGAGTTTCATCTCCTCCTTCTCTCTGTTGCCCTCTTTAGCTGTAACATTCGCCCCACCTCTCATCCTCTCTAAATTCTATTTTTTATTTCGGGTTGTTTTTTTTCTGTTTTCCTTTTTTGAATTTGTGGGTCTGATGAATTGATCGTATTTACGATTCCAATGGAATAAATTATGCTGAATAACATATATAAAGAAGCGAGGTGTGAACCTGATACTCATCATTCAATGTTGATTTTTACACAGTCTGCATGTATATATATATATATATATATATATATATATATATATATATTAATCCAAATATTTCGTTTGTTGCTTAACTGATTGATGTTAATGCAATATTGAATAAACATCAGAATTAAATATTCCTTTTTAATCGTTCTATCCAGCTTGTCATTTTATGTTTGAACAATATGTATATATATATATATATATATATATATATATATATTGTGTTCCATATATGTGTTTATAGAAGAAAAAAAGCCAAAGAATTTGCCCTGATTTCAAATGTGTCAAAAAGATATTTTCATTTTTCCAGATTACAAAACCCGCCTCCCTCAGAAAATAAGATAGACATATCCCAAGCTAGTAAAAGAGTAACTAAAAGGGTTCGAACTAAAATCCCATATATATAAAAATATATTCATATATATATATATAGAAATATACATATATATATATATATATATATATATATATATATATATTTATAAAATTGATTGTAATTTAGTTTGCTTTATCAACAGAAATGTGCCAAAATGACTTTCTCTTGACGTTCCTGTCCTCTTGGTGGTGTGTCTACCAATTGGAACAATGGAGTCGGGGAGGGGGGGACTGCCTTTTGTCTTGGCAAAATATCTTAACCACCCAGTGAGTTCGTTTTGACTTACTTATTACGATAAGTAAGATAATTAATAGTTTTGGCCCCGGTTTCCTATGTTTAAGAGAACAAAGGGACGCACAGGGACGTGTGTGTGTGTGTGTGTGTGTCTGTGTATTCCTTTCTTCTATCTTCGACCGAACCTTTTCCTCTTCTTTTTTTTCCTCTTCATTTTTTTTCCTCTTCTTTTTTTTTCCTCTTCTTTTTTTTTCCTCTTCTTTTTTTTCCTTTTCTTTTTTTTTCCTCTTCTTTTTTTTTTCCTCTTCTTTTTTTTCCTCTTCTTTTTTTTTCCTCTTCTTTTTTTTTCCTTTACTCTTTCGCTCTATTTCTCTCGTTCTTTCTTCTTTTGTCATTTTTTTCTTTCTCTTTTCTTTCTCACTTTTCATTCAATCTTTCAGACTTTTGGCAATTTTTCTTGTATTCTTTCTTTCACTCTTTCATTTATTAGTTGTGTCCTAATTTTCATTCTGTTTCCTTTGTTCTATTTTTTCATTCCATCGTCGTTTTTTCTTTTGCTGTCTTACCTTTTCTTTCTTTCTTTTTTTTTTCCTTTTCTTTATTTTAGACATCGAACTTTTTCTTTCTTTTCTTTCTTTAATTTCTTTCTTTCTTTTCTTTTTCTTTCTTTCTTTCATTTGTTTTTCCGCCTTTTCCCTCTCACTTTCGCCTTTCATTTTGATCGAAACTTCGGGTTTTTCTTTCGTTTCTTTCTTTCTTTCTTTCTTTCTTTTTTACTAGGCTTCTTTCATCTGTAAAATAAATTTTCTTTTTATTTTCTCACTTTCTGTTCTTTCTTTCGTTCGTTCTTTTTTTCCGTTTTTTAAAAACAATTTCTTTCTTTAATAAATTATAAGTTTTTATATTTCATTTTTTGGTTTGCTCAATTTCGTTCTTTGAGAGTTGTTCAAACTTTCTTTCGTTTCTTTGTTTGTTTCTTTCTTTTCTTTCTTTTCTTTCTTTCTTTTCTTTTTTCTTTCTTTCAGCATTTTCTTTCTTTTTCCCTCTCACTTTAAACTAAGTTTTCGTTCGTTCTTTTCTTTAAGAGTTTCTTTTTTTTTTTTAATTTTTTTTTATCTTTTTTTTTCTTTTCTTTTCCTCTCACTTTTGTTCTTTCGTTTCGTTCGTTGTTTCTTTCGTTTCTTAGAGGTTTTTCTTTTTTTCTTTCTTTCTTTCTTAAAATGTTTTTTTTAATTTTCCCTCTCACTTTTGTTCTTTTCTTTGTTTCTTTTATTTCTTTTTCTTTTCTTTCTTTCTTTCTTGAACGAATCTATTTTTGAAATTTTCATTTTTCTCACTTTCTTCTTTTCTTTGTTGTTTTTTTTTCGTTTTTCTTCTTTCTTTCTTTCTTTTTTTCTTTCTTTCTTTCTTTCCATCGTGTCCACTTGTTTTTTTTTTGTTTGTTTGAACTCTTTCTTTTCTTAAATTTCATTATTTTTTTTTTTCTTTTAATCTGCCCCACGTAAAATCGTTCTTTCTTTCTTTTAATTTCAAAGTTTTTAGTTTCTTAAAAATTTTTTTTTTCTTTCGTTTCTTTAGGTTTCTTGATTAATTGAAGACTTTTACTTTTTTTTTCTTTCTTCTTTCTTTCGTTCTTTCTTTTATTTTTAAAATAATTTCTTTTTTTTTCTTTCTTTCTTTTCTTTTTTTTCTTTTTCTTTTTTTTCATGCGTTTTTCTTTCTTTCTTTTCTTTCTTTTTTCGTTTTTCTTTCTTTTTCCTCCTAACTTTCAGTTCTTTCTTTTGTTTTCTTTCTTTCTTTGAGGATAACTTTCTTTG